TGTGGTGGTGGTGGTGGTGGTGGTTGTTGCTGTGGTGGCTGTGATTGCAAGTGTTGTTGTGGTGGCTGTGGTGCATGTGGTGGTTGTTTTTCTTGTGTTTGTTGTCGCTGTTGTTGTTGCTGCTGCTGCTGCTGTGCTTCGTAATCCCGGTGAGGGAACGGTCGCGGCGGCTCTTCTTGTCCCAGCGGCTCCTGTTTTGGCACAAATTGCTGCCGTGGATGCAATTCCTGCCCCTGGCGGTACCCCTGCGGCTCTCGCATGTCCTGCAATCCTTGCTCATGCTCTTGACCCTGCTGCTGTCCTCCTCGGGTATCCTGCAATTCCTGCTGCAAAGAGGCCTCCATAGGCGTGAGTGCTTTCTCGTGCCGAGCTGGGTTCCGAGCCTGCGATGGCACCTCCAATACCTCTCTTTGCTTCCTTCTTTCTCCCCCCTCTTCGTCTGGTCGCAGGTTATCTCCACTCGGCCGTCGTCGACGCGGAAAGGAGGGAGGGAAGGGAGGGAGGGAGGGAGGAAGGGAGGAAGGGGCAGGGAAGGTCTGGTAGTCTGACGCGGCCGACGCCGGAGGGCGGGGCTTCCCCTGGGGCTCCTTATCTTCACATTCCTTCTCTTCTTCCCTTGTGGCAATCCCGCCTGAATTTGAAGACGGCTGGCCAACATGGATGGTAGAGGAGGAAGCGGAAGGGGAGGAGTGGGACGACGAGGAAGTGGAGACATACGAGGAGGAGGAGGAGGTGTAAGAGGAGGAAGCGGCAGAGGAGGAGGAGGAGGGGCGCTTGAGCGGCAATGGTCTGTAGAACGGGATGGTTTCCTCCTCTTTTTCTTCCTTCGCTTCCCTCCCTGCCCGGAACGTCCCACCCCTCTCGACGGGCGCAGGGGGAGAAAATGGCGCGAAACTTGTGGATGCCGCGTGCAAGGAGGGATCATGGGTTGTTTCTCGCTTTCGGCGAATGTCACGGGGCCGGAGGGTCGCCGGGAGGTTGCCAGGAGGTCCCTCAGGGCCCGAGGGAGGGAAAGAGGAAGCGGTGGAGGGATCTCTATGCATGTGCCCTCCTTCCCTTCCCTTCGATTTGTCTCCGCCTTCCTTCCCTCCTTGCTCCGTTTCCTTGGCTGTCTTTTCAAGACCGAGCACCCCCACAGGGGTGGATGACGCGAGGAACGCCGTGGCCGTGGAGCGAGCCCTCTTCCGTTTTCCCTCCCGCCCACTCTCCCGTCCTCCCTCCCGCCCACTCTCCCGTCCTCCCTCCCGCCCT